CCTCCTCGGAGGAAGACAGGTGGAGCGCCGAGCCCGCTCCCCGGGGGGAAGTAGCCGCAGAGCGGGCTTCCGATCCCAGAGAGCGAGCGCTGGATCTGGTGGGTGAGGAAGAAGATAGGGACTCGCCCGTCTCCATTCCCTCCGCCAGCTCCAGCTGCGAACCCCACGAGCGTAATCGCCGCTCCGCCTCGACGGAAGCGGGACCAGCACTGCGGGGAACGCTAGAGAAGGCACCCTCCGCTTTAGACATTGTATCGTTTTATTTTTCAGATTCTCTTTTTTTTCTGGGACAGACAACACCAAATAAGACTCACAACGCTATCAACCTGACCCACACCCAGACCGCTTGCTGAATGACAGAAAGCTGACGCTGGTCTCACCGCACGTGCTTTTATAGCTTCCTGGTCATTACGTCACCCGCCCGTGACGTCTTGCCCATCTATTGGTCTGATTACACACGAGGTTCAGAGCCGGTCACGCTGAAGGGCGTTCCCGAAGCGTCCTCCGACGCAGCTCGAGTTCCTGAAGAGGAACTCTTTTTGTCTTATATCTAGCAAATCATTGGTTTCCATTCACAAGTCTCATAAGGCTCTGTCTGGTGTTTGTCGGCATGCATACGTGATCACGAGGGTGTGCTTGTGTCTTGTGTGTGTGTGTGTGCCTTGCACATCTGTTAATTGCGCTTGCATTTTCTGGTTCACTGCTGCTTGAACGTGTGAAGAAAGTGTCAGAGTGCAGTCAGTCAGGATGCAATTTGTTCAAGTCTATTTGACTTCAAAACAGTGGAGCACCATGCTTAGCCGCCACCGCACTCCCAGAAGACTCTGTTTAAGGCACAGCCACGGATCAGCAGCACTGCAGATCTGCAGGCCAGTACACCCTCGCTAAGTAACAAGCAGTGATTACTGCAACCCAGTTGACCCTGGTCCCCCACACAAAAGGCCAGTGGTGGCAATGGCAGTCCTTTACCCCACTCCACTGGCCAAGTGTTTGGCACTGTACTAACTCCACAAGCCCTCGGCCATCCTTCACCCCACCCATTCACAAAGAACGTTTTGGGCCATTTGCAGCTCTGGTCTTTCAAAAACAACTCCGTTCTGTTTTCCAGCGCTTGTTCTCTTGTGATATTGACAAAAGGAGAACAAGGGGAAGAAAGAAAAGGGAAAATGCGAACATAAAAAAAGAAAAGACGAGAAAGTGCTGTGTGTTCTTTGTAAGCACTTGGGCTCTACTGTATGTTGGGTGGGTTTCTGCCAGCAGCCGCAGTCGACTGAGAAGCTTGGCCTGTGAGTTATTACGCATTTGGAAGGAAAGGCAGTAGACAGTTTTTCTCTGCTTTTGGGAGGGCTCGGCTTATTTAACAGCGGTGCACATTGGGGTCCGGGGTTGGGGGCTTCGGGGGCCATTGGGGAGATGTCTAGTGCGGTTATGTAAGGTAAGAGAGGAGAGTTTTCGTAACTGTAACTGTAGTAGTGCTACATTTACAGCACTGCACTGTAAAATTGAAATAAAAATACTGAGTTTTGAAATAACTTCACCCTTCTTTCACCATGGCTTATCAGTTTAAAATGCACCCACAATCCCACATTGTGCAGTTTCTAAACCTCACTGGCTTTTGTGATATTGTTTAGCATTTGGTGAAGTTTTAAAACAGGCCCATTTGATGCAGTATTATTTTAGTATTATGTATATCAATTTATAAAATGATATTATTATAATATAAATGATTTTCTTAGTATTTTGCCTTGTTTTGTAGTACAAATATTTAAACATTCTTAAATCAATATACATTTACTTGAGAAGCAAAATGACTTAAGATATTAAGTCTTGTTTTCTGAAAAAAATTATAAGCCATCTCCCCAATGGCTCCTGAAACCCCCGTCCCCAATGTAAGAAAGTAAGAAAGTCATTTTTTGTAGTGTTTTATATTTGCAGTTTTCATTTTAATTTAGTTCAAGTATTAATAGTTTTGTTAGGTGCTTTTGTAATTTTTTATTATTGTTTAAATTATCTATTTAACTTTATTTTTATTTCAGTTTAAGTTTTAGTAATTTTAGTACTTCAACTTCAAGACAACTTCAACAATTTATTTTCAGTTAGATGCCAAAACAATATTTCTAATTTTCATCAAAAATGTTTGTGTTTTGGTTATTTTTTAAACTAATATTTATATTTTATTCCTGATTTATTTCAGTTAATGACAATGATTTTTATAGTCGTTTTAGTTTTAGTTTTAATGATAACAACACTGATCTGATGTCCTCTGCAGCGATGGTATAGTTTGGTTGTTTCTTCACCTGTTGGGTTTAGCCTGTTTATATTGATAAATATAAATATACACATATATACACAGATTAAAAATATGTTGTACTAAAAATAAATGTACTACACACAGTACAAAAATACACAGAACACATTTGTTAATTAATTTATCCATATTTATCTTCGGTCTCCTTCAGTCAAAGAATATAGTCTGTATTCTATATTATGTTTTTTTTTTAATCCTTTACATTTAAAAGTATAATCTTTTATATTTAAGATACCCTTTTAATTTTATATCATATATTTTGTGTCTCATTCTGTTATCGTTATGGTGTGTGTTTGGTACAACATAATCAAAATAATCATCAGAATGTTGTTGAAGTAAAAATTATCTGATCGATTTCATAGACGAGCAACAGTTGAGCCTGGCTGCTATGGCTTCTTTGAAACTATTTTGAGTGGGAAAAAAATTAAATAAAAAATCTAAAATCTGGACATACTGTGTGGGTGTGTACAGTAGATTAATAATATCAAACATACACGTGATTGTAAATGGGCATTTGTTTAGAAATGATAATTTGACAGCTTCAGAGATTACCCTGCAAAAATGTGACCATATAAAGATTTCAAAGAAATTGGCGTGGATGGATTTCCAAGTCTCACTTGCGTGTGAGCTGGAGAGCTGATGACAGCAGTGCGATACATTTACAGAGTGAAAGTGCTGATCCCAGCACAGTCATTACAGCTTATCAGCCATCTCCAGGGAGCTCATAATGTGTGTTCCTAAAGACTTTAGTCAGAGACAAATTAGCCATTTCATCATTAACCTGTTACTGTAACATCACTGAGAGGGTGCCAATACGGTCCTATTGAGAGAAAAAAACTGCATTAGGAGCTGTTACAAACAGAGATAAATGTGTGTTTATAAGGTTGTAGGCCAAGCCAAGCATTGAGGGTTATGATCTCGCAACCCATCATGAACGGAGGACAGTTTTGCGAGCAGATAACTACAGCAACAAGCACCACTACAGTGTCATGTCTTTGTGTCCGCAGCTTCCTGGCTGCCGGCCACTTGTTTTTGCCAAGGTGTTATTGAAAGCAGAGCATGTCCTGAAATCACTGTTAGGCAAACAACATTTCAACAGAGCAAGAGGGAAGCGGAGAGTTAGAGGTTTGCTTTACCCCCTGTTTTTCTTTCTTTTTCTTTTTTTTTTTAGCACTTATGCATGTTTGTGTGTGTGTGTGTGTTGCTTACGTGTGTTACTATGCATTCGTGCGTGCGTGTATGAGTGCGCGGAGAGAGAAACACAGGATGGGGCTGGGGTGTAGAAGAAAAGCCAACAGAGGCATCTGTGTTGAATTAGGCACAGTAGTCAGTGGTAGTTAAATACTCAGTGGAGGAGGAATCGGCAGCTGTAAAGTTTTAAAAGAAGGAAACTCCGCACGCAGACACCCCTCTCCCTCCTCCGCAACTTGCCACCCCCCGATGTGATGGCAGTCCCCTTCCCCTATGTTCACCACAAGGAACGACCCGTCATGTTATAACTTCCAAGCAGTAGCAGCGTATGTTTATGTGTGCTTTCGTTTGCGCATGCGACACGGATTACGTACCATACAGGTGGGCATTTAAACAGCCCCCTGAATGTGTGTTTTTCTTCTGTTCAACCACAACAGTTTATGTTTTCCTTTTTGTCCCTCACAGCCCATGTGACTGTGGTCATTTCTTTTACTGCTCCTGTAATGCAGCCAGTGCCGGCTAATAAACCTCGTGTCTAAACTGCCATTGAGCTTTGAGAGAGCCAGAGATGTCTGGGCAGGGAAAGCGAGATGACACTTTTATGTACTTCTGTAGCCTCTCGCAAGTTTTATAAAGAAGGCAGGTATTTGGACTAACACGCTCTTTGGCATTGTTATGACATAGACGGCAGCCTCTCTGACCCTAGGGGGAGATGTTGAGTAGATTGTGACTGCGGTTCTGTTTGGGATTTTATTGAGCCAGTGATATGAGGTCTTTTATTACACTGCTGCCCTCACATGAAAAAGTCAAATAGAAACCTTTTCATGAACAGTTGTGTTGCTCTTCTTTTTTTATTTTTTTTATTTTGGCTTTTGCTTTACCTAATTTAGTTTTACCCTTTTTTGTCTTTTGTCTTGTGCTCAGTTTAGTTTTTGCTTTGCTTCGTCGTTGTTGTTTTTGTTTTTTTGTTTGTTTGTTTATTTTTTGTTTGTTTTTTACTATATTTTTATTGTTTTTTTTTTTGTTTAATTTTAGTTATGCTTCATTTTTTGTTTTGTTTTGCTTCGTTTTTTACTTTTAGCTTTTGCTTCATTTTTTGTTTGCTATTTTTGTCTTGATGTTTTTATGTCCAGTTTAGTTTTTGCTTTGCTTAGTGGTTTTATTTTTTACTTTGTTATTCATTTCATTCTGTTTTGTTATTTTTATTTGTTTTTCTTAGTTTTTTTTTTCAGTTTTAGCTTTTGCTTCACTTTATTTTTGTTTTGCCTAATTTATTTTGCTTAGTTTATTTTAACTTAGTTTTTGTCTTTTGTTTTTGTTTTTACTTTTTTCTCTGTTTTCATTTTGTTTTTCTTAGTTTAACTTTTGGCTTTGCTTAGTTTAATTTAGTTTTTGTTTGCTCTTCTTTGTTTTGTTTTGCTTTGCTTAGTTCATTCATTGTTGTGCTTACTTTGGTTTTATGTCTTTTGCTTTTTTTCTTGTTGTTTTGTTTTGTTTTCAGATATTCACCTCAAATATTCAAGACTCACACTTCCATGGTGAGCTGTTTTTAATAAGAGCTTCAGCACAAGAAAAGGAAGAGGGAAAGAAGGGGGCAAAAAGTGTTTTGTAACTGTGTCTGGATTGCATTTCAAATACTTCCCGCAGCTTTGCTCAGTTTTAGGTGCTGGTGCATTTCCTGAGAGGGTAGAGAACATTAGATAAGCTCACCACATTCCAGACCATTTAAATCTGCAATTTCAAATAAAGAGAAAAGAGACAAGAGAAAAAAAAGTGGCCTGGGTCAGAGTAAAGCAGCAACAAAACCGCTGTTCGTACATCTAGATGTTTTGTTTTGTGGATGCAAGTTAAAGTACATTTGCCACAATAATCTGTGCCATGCCAGCAAAAACTATTTGGCTTCACAAAAATTGTTTCAATAAACATAGCTGACATCTTTTTTTTTTTTTTGGAACCAACCAGCTTTCATCACTTGCCATAAACAAAAGGATAAATCTGTGGAGAAGTGCATGTTTTATTCTGTGCTTCATTAAAACAGTCTGGACTGTAAGCCCACCTACGGACCGTGTTCAAGCCATTGGGTATGGTTCATGTTAAACATCACTTTTTACTTAATGCTTAATACCACACACAAAAAGCACAATAATGCCATAACCCACATCATGTTAGATCACAATTATTTCATTTTACATTTTTTTGGCTAAGAGAAGTTTTAAATTTGCTGTCGTGCAGTAAAAACACAAACTTTTTACGTGGTTCACACATTTGAAGATTCATTGAGTAGAAGAATGCAGTGCTGTGCTGCTGGTGACAAATTCACGAATGTTATTCCTGCTTTGTACACAGTGAAGTTTGATTCGTTGGTTGTTTGTAGGCATAGTAAGGGTTTTGTGTTAATATAAGCAGTGATTTATGTATTGAGTCAATAATAGGTCAGTAAATGTCCCTACATATTACTCGAGACAAGGACAACTAAATAGTCAAAATAAACTGGATTTTGACAGAGTGAGGAGAGACAGAGAAAGAAAGAGTAAGGACTCAGAATTTTTTTAGCATATTCTCATGCACCTTTTGAAGTATGCAATTGACTATTTTGGTTAGATGAAGGAGTTGTACTCTCTATGACTGCGATCATTCTCATGCTGGAATAAATTAATTTATCCTTTTTGTAATAAATCAAGTAAAATTACCTGCGGATGTATAACAGGAGCGGGAAATACTACTACATGTACTACTATTACTGTCAACATTACCTTAAAAAGACCAGCTAGTATGTTATAAATGTTAGTGTTCAGCACAAAGGTTATTGTAATTTACCGTAAGTGTATGAACAATCATGAATTCGTGACAATTTGTAACTTTACTCTCATTTGAAAATGAGGATCTGCTTCGTCAGTCTCATTTACACGGAACTGGGCTTTGTGCACTTGGACGCACGCGTTCAGGGTTTTCCGACAGAAAATCATTCAAATCACTAATGAAACACAAGTCACGTTATGTCATGGCAGTGATTCGACAAAATTTTCTAAAACAAAACGCGACCCCCTAAGTTTAATTGTTTTGTTCTTATGGGGGGTCCGGTATGTGTGCGGTTTCATGGCTCTGCTACTAGCACAGATGCCTTTGGGAGACATCATACAGGTCAGACATGACTTAGTAAAACAGCAGAAATGACCTCTGACTCACTCTGCTTTCAGTTCTGACAGCTTTATATGCTGTACCCGAGCCATTTATTATCACCCACTCAGACTGTTAGCTTCCTACTGCTTCCTTTCACCAAGAGATACATAGATACATTTAATTTAGTTGTATTTTTATGTCTATATAGTGTGTAAAATGTTATTGAAACAGATGTGTATTATTTGATATGGTCTGGTCTGACGGATTGTTGCGGTTGCAGTGAATTAACCGAAAGAAAACAAAATGTTCTTTTCCCCTACTTTGAACTATTGCCTTCATGTTTTTGCCTCTCGACAGTCTGAATCCACGGTGACCCTCACCTGCGCAGATGGGAAATGGAACAAGCAGGTGACCTGTGAACCTGTGGACTGCGGGTGGCCTGACAAGTACCACGTGCACCCAGCTGTCTTTGAGTTCTCTGAGGGAACCACCTACGGCAAGAAGTGCACTTTTCAATGCCGGGAGCCGGCTCAGCTTGTGGGTGGGTAGATCCTGACACATCCTAAAACTAAAGGCTCTTGGGATTGAAAGGTCAGCTCTGTAAAATGCCAAATGTGGTTTTGACACCAACTACAAAAAAATAAAAATAAAACAATGCACACTGAGAAAACAGTGCTGTGCTTTACATCAAATTGAAGTAGGTTGACTTTAAATCTGAGGTCAACTTGTCCTGTTTCTTTGTCCTTTTGTCTCTGCAGGCAGTAATAACGTGCTGACGTGTATGGAGGATGGCTTGTGGTCCTTCCCCGAGGCTCTTTGTGAGCTGCGCTGTCCGGTCCCTCCTCCTGTACCCAACGCTGTCCTGCAGACCAAACGCTGCAATGCCTCAGGCCTCAAAGTTGGGTCTTTCTGCAAGTATAAGTGCAAGCCTGGCTACCATGTGCCCCACACAGACAAGCCAAAGAGGTGAGACAACACTAAACCATGCATAATTATAAGCTTTAACTTTAATGAGTTCTATATTCAGACCGTACCATCCTCTTGTTTATTGCATTACAGATTTAGTTAACCATGTTGTGGCAATTGAATACTCAGGGCTGTATCAATTGTTTAAAAGCTTGGATAAATTCATAGTCATTATTTACCCTGTTGGTCAGTTACTCACATAGCCACGTGTAGCCAGACATTAGACTATAGTCATAAATCTGGTCCACTTTAAATGTCAAATTTAGATTGTTCTGGCCAAAAACAACCCATTTATACAGGAAGCGATTGTGTTTGGTTTTTATGTGCCATTTAACTCAAAATGAATGGAAATGTGACTTTGATCCGAATTTCTGTGCGTTCAAAAGTAATTAGTAACAAATATTCCACGTAATTCAGAAAAGTGCGATATACAGTCATTTTATATTCTACTTTGGATATTTACATGGCCTGTGACCCGCATACGACAAGTGGTTTGGAAACTGGATAGATGGATGGATGGATATTTATTTGGTGATAATTTGGTGTCTGATAAAACGTCTCAGGTTACTTATGTTACTACCATCGCCGCCATGGATCTGCCCATGGCAGAGGCAGCCTGCTTAGTAGCACGGAGAGCAAGATCCGTGGTGCGGCGCAACTCAGCCATCTCATCAGAAGAAAGGCCCTCGCCTTTATCCAGGTCTTTCAGCAGGTCAGCCTGGTATGCCTGGAGCACCGCCATCGTGTGCAGCGAAGCAACAGCCTGACCTGATGCTGCGTATGCCCTGCCATTCAATTTAGATGTAGCTTGAAGTCCCATAGCGACCCCTAGAGGACGCAGTTCGAAGTTCCCATGAAAGGGAATCCTGTGCACCCTGACTCCCAGAAGTTGTGGAAAGGCAGCCATTTAGATTAGAGCTTGTAATTTTGGAAAGTGCTTGCCAGTTTTAAGTGCAGTATTAATCAGATGGTCCATGAACGGACTGTGGGTGGTCTGTGAACATTTTATTCTAAGAACAGTGAATTATTAAAAGCTGTTTTAAGGTTGGAATACACTACACGACTTTTAAAATCTGGACAGATTTTAAAACACTAGGTATCATACACTAAACGACTGAAGATCACGAATGCCATAGACTGAAGATAAAAAATCTGCCCCATCATACATTATATCATTTTCTGTGAAATCGGTCAACACCGACTACCTGTGACTGTGACTTTCGGCAACTAGCGTCAACTCTTTCAGACTGCAAATCAGTGCAAAAGTGGTGCAATATATTCCAGCCTTTGCATGTGCAAAAACTATGATAGAGAACTCTGCTGAATCTATCTGTCTTTGTGATAATGAACGTGTTGTAGGTCAGTGCCTGTGATGTACCACAGGCGTGCATTTAAGCGGCAGTGTACGGAGGATGGAACCTGGCAGTCGGGTGAGTGTGTGGCAGTCACATGTGAGCCACCTCCTCCCATTTTCCATGGTACCTACAAGTGCACAAACGGCTTTCAGTTCAACAGCGACTGCTGGATTGTCTGCAACAGGGCTAACCACACGGTGAGACAGCACAGCCGCTGCAAGCAGGTCTGTCGTGTTCTCTCTCTCTTCTCCTCGTTTTCTCTCTTCCTCCATCAACATCTCAGTCCATCACTTCCCATTACTGTCTGCAGCACCTTCCATTCATCATGCGCACCCTATCGCTCACTTTTAAGCATCACGATTGTTCTGTGTCGTCCCTCTGGCTATTCATCAGCAGCATGACTGATAGACTGACAGATCTTACATATGCTTTGTTTCATTTGTCAGTTACACAGCTTCTAATATGTAATTTTGGCAACTGAACCTTGAGGTCATGCCCATCCTTTGCCTCCACCCTTACATTCAACCACATATGTTTTTTGCCATGTGGTGATGGTTAGTGAGCTTCTTTTATGATGATTAATAGAAATGTTGGCCTTTGCTCCAGGGTCCTTCCACCAACGTGATCCGATGCAGAAAGGACGGGAACTGGACCGGTTCCTTCCATCTTTGCCCCAACCTGACAGGCCAGTGTTCCCTTCCGCAGAATCTCAGCCCAACTATCCATCTCAACTGCAAGGATGGACATGGCATAGGTCTCTGACTATCTGCTTTTCAGTTCTTAGGCCTAAAACACACTGCACACACATGTATGCACTGCAGTCTCAACATTGCCACAAGGGGCAGTGTAACTACAACAGCATGTTTTTGTGTAATTTCAAATTCTGTCTTAATCAGAGATTTTTTGAGTCAAACCCATCTCTCACATTGTATTGGAGAGCTGATTTTTAGTAATAACTCAGTTTTGACTAAATATGTGGTTGATGTGTATTCTCTTTGTGGGGCAGTATAGTAGCTAGCTAATAACATAAACTCTCACTAGGTTTTATCTGTCTGGTTAATTATTCTTGACGAAGCAGTTTGTAGAGAATCTGTGCAAGTTATTTAAACTATTCTCACGTTTTTAGCTACACTATAGTTCAAAAGTTTGGGGATTGTATTTTTTTTTTTATTAAAGAGATGCATTAAATTAATCAAAAGTGATAGTAAGACATTTATAATGCTACAAAGGATTTCTGTTTCAAATGAATGCTGTTCTTTTGATCAAAGAATCCTGAAAAATGGGTCATGGTTTTCACAAAATTATTAAGCAGCAAAACTGTTTTCAACATTAATTAGAAATGTTTCTTGAGCACCAAATCAGCATATCAGTATGATTTCTGAATAATCATGTGACACTGAAGACTGGAGTAATGATGCTGAAAATTCGGCTTTGTCATCAAATAAAATGTTTAAATGTACTGAAATAGAAGACTGTTATTTTAAATTGCAATAATATTTCACAATATTATGGTTTTTACTCTATTTTTGATTTTAAAAAATACATAAAGAATTATGCCAATCCCAAACTTAAAACAGTAGTGTACCTGAATGACATTCTTTTAATGGGACATACATTTTTAGAAAACTTAATTTGCCAATTAATTACTTTTTGTTACCACCAATACAGTAATGAACAAACAAGAACAGACGTTTTAGAAGTATTTGTATGTAAAACAGGACAGCACACTTGCACTGCATTAGCCAAGCATTTACATCTGCATTTGCATACTTATGTTAAGTATGTTTTATGCCTTAAAATGTGAACTTCATTATGTTTGATTAATGTATTTTGATACATATATTAATGAATACAATTTTGTATTAAAAATGCTCACTCCAGGGTTTCCGCGGTTCCTTAAAAAGTCTTCAATTTAGTTGTATCAAATTTAAGGCCACAAAAAGTCTTAAATGGTACAAGAAATTCTTAATTATGATTTCAAGAGGTCTTAAATTTGGGGACGGAAAGACAAGATTTGCGATATGGCTTAATGTGACAATTGAACTTCAAAAGGCTGTGATTTAATTGAATAAATATTAACGCTGCACGTTTCAAAGTCACATGCTGCGCTGCTTTGTGTACTGCGGTTACTAGGGAAACTGCTATATTTTTGCTGTTCCACCTGCTGACAGAGAATGAATTCGCATTTTCAATAAGCCGTTCTGCTGTTTCTGTTCAGACCAAAGTGAAAATTATTCCATGTTTTAAATGTTGTAAATGTGAACTGGTGGAGCGACAAAAAGATCTTTGCTCATGCTTTTTACAGTCATTTTACGGTTTAATATGTTATCATAGACATTGCCCTACCCCGCACATATGGTATTAATTTTATTTGTGCAGGTCTTAAAAAGTCTTACATTTGAGCTTAAAAATCCTGCAGATACCCTGTCACTCGTTCTTAATGATCAGAAAGGTACATTTAATTTGCCCTGAAGCAGATATCAATATACCATGGTCATGAGTAACACCTGTCTATGATGCCCAACAGGAAAGGAGTGTGAGGTGGCCTGTAGAGATGCTAGCAGCAGTGTGGCCCTCCTGCCCAGCAACATGAGCGTTGCAGCAGTGATGAAAGACCACTGGTGGAACCCACCCAAAGTTAAGGTGAGAGCACAAACATTATAAGATTTGGGTGGGCTCACTGTACATCATAAATGTTGTGTCTCCTAAGTTTGATCTCATATTCCAAACTTTGCCATATTTTTGATGAATGTTACACTGAATTTGTTTGGTAAATGTTTGAGACCTGGTCATAGTACAAGCTGAACCTTCAAACATTTCCGCAATTAAGTACCTATATTTAACACCATGGAGTATTTTTTAACACATGATTATGACTTAACTTCTCAGAAATCATCTACTGTGTGATATTTCAGCAAAGGGTTGTAACCTAAGCACTAAAAGTAGTCAAAATAAACACCTAAAGATGTAAACACACCAGAGTAGTTGGCAGTTGTTTCTTAAAGCGTGCAGATTAATGCCTAGATTGATCATTAACAACAAAAATGGGCATGACACATTTTTGCTGTAGGCTGTTATAAAATCCAATGCATCATTATGTTTACCTTACTGAAATAGACTGGACCACACACACACGCTCATTCACACTGGTGACATTTGCCCTTTCCCTGTGACTAAGAAAGCAGGGTTAACTTACCATCACATAAACCCCAAACTCTCTGTTGATTAAATCAAATGTTTCTTAGTCACGGTTATTGGTTCCAAAAACGCATCTGGGAGTAAGTTCAGTCAACTCAGCACATGTTCATGGTGAACAACACACAAGACATCCCCAAGAGGCAAATCCAGAAGCCACCATGGAAGCGAGTGCTAAAAAGCAGCATGGCATGTGATGGAGTTTGAAGAGAATGATTTCTATGATTATCATGTAATATATATCCTGTATTTAAATCTACTATTCCTAAAAAATCTTACGATTACACTCATTTGTTTTCCTGCATTTGGACCATCATTTAGTATATTATTTATTGTGAATTATTTTATTCCAAGGGATTGTAATTCTTCTTTAAGACTTGGCCTTTTTCTTTCATATGCATTACATATCATCAAAACGTGTTCCACTGTCTCAGCATGGCATACTTCTACTTTCTTCTTATTTTGTTTAATGGTGATTTACATCCTTAATCAGGGCCGTGCAGAGACCTTTGGAGGGGCAGGTGCTCAAAGTATAAAAGGGGCACATGGAGCACGGCTTTTAATAGGGCTGTGCTCCTTGCTGAGACATGTATCGAAACGGATGCTTCTGTATTGATAGCAGCAAATGAAACACAGAACAGAAAAGACCATTTTAAGTTTAAAAGTTAAATAAATATTTCTTTGCACCTCTTAATCACTCTGAAAATAGAAACGGAATTAAATTAGGCCTATTATTATTATTGAGTTTAAAGGGTATGGTGGTTTTGCTGTTGTAAACACTACTGTTATTTCTGTCTTATTTAAAATAGAATTATATTATAATCCTGTTCTGAATTTATAAATTTTTTTAATTATAATGATGATAAAAACAGGATTGATAAGTAGCCTATAAATCGGAGGATGAGAAAATCAGTATAAGCCTGTTTTATCAGGGTTGTGATAATTATTTTTAAGGCACTCTACGTTTTTAAAATAAATACTGTAATAAAAAAAGTTCAAAGTAATAGTTTTTTAGTCAGATAACATTAAGACAAGACCCCTCGACGCCCTTTAAAATTTTCCCAATCAAACAGCAAGAACGAAAGAGAACAGGCACCTTTGTTTATATTGCTGTGTGTAGTACGTTAGCTGCATTTTTTATATTTAATTTTAAAGAAATGTAATTTCGGCCCCCGCACTTTATTCGGGCAGGTGTGTTCACGTAGAGGTTTCTAGATTTAAATTCAAAGAGACAGTATCGATAGTCTATGCATGACCGGTCTGCGTGACTCTCGATGTCTTAGGCCTAATTGAACGGAGGAATTATGGTATTCTTCTGTAGCCTGACGTTGTTTCACCTATCAATTCATGTCGATAAAGTATAATAGGGTAAATCCTGTATAGTGATTTCGCTTGCATAAAGTAAGTAGTGCATACACTTGTAGCTGTTATGTATCTTTGTAAGTCATTGTAAGCCCTCTTTTGAGGCACGCGCAAAAACAAGTGGGCTCCCCCAAAGTCCACGGTATAGTTCGAACACTGTATACAAGCATACCGCTCCGCTGAGAACTCCACTTACGCAAATATTAAACATGTTTAAAAAAATCTTTGTGTAAACGACTGGCAACGACTGGTTCTTGAATTCTAAGATTATAATCTTTAGACACCACACACTATGCAATTTTTTCTGCCGACTGCAAACAGCGACTGAGCCCAACTGGAACAGACCCGGTCGGACTGGGCGCGATCCGTGCTCAAGACCAAATTCCATTCATAATCGGCCTGACAGTCCTGTAGTGTGTTCTCGGCTTTACCGGCAGCCGCGGACTTTATGAAGGCATCCTGGTAGTGCGCTACATTAAAGGTGTCTGAACGTGAGGGATAATCCCTGATGAGATCGGTGAAAGGTCATCATCATCAGTGTTGCCAACTTCTTTCAATGGAAAGTAGCTACAGCCTGCTTGAAAAGTCGCTAAATGACGTCATACGCCAATTAGCATATTCATGACGTCAGTGCATCGTATTGTCTTGCTTCTCTGTGCTCACAAACTGTATTTTAATGAAGCCAAATTCTCAACAGAACTGTTTTCATTGATATATTTCACTGTTTCTGTTGTCAGAAAACAGGATGAATATGAAATAGTGACTGAAACGCAGCCCATTAAGACTAACCAGCTCTTCCTTACAAAATGTTAATCTGCACTAAAATCCTGATTTATAATCGAGCCGTCGTCTAATGAAATCAAATACACATAAGATAAAGACAATGGCTGTGCTCTGATTTCGGCTATATTTGCATGGAAAATAGAGTTAGAAGCGACAGAATATCGATTTTAACTGAAAGCACGAAAGCACTCTGCCGCTCGCTGAACAGATCAGACGCAGAGAGAGGTGTGTGCGCGCTGGGAAAACAAGACCTCGCGCTCGCGTGGCAGTATCCCCGGGTCTCAGAGACTAAATAAGGTTTGTCCAAGAAGTCGCTAGATTTGTCGCTAGGCGCTTTTAAAAAAAAAAATCGCTAAGGGGGTCTGAAAGATTGCTAAATCTAGCAACAAAGTCGCTAAATTGGCAACACTGATCATCATGTGGATAATTTTATTTACGACTAAATTATAATTCATTAATTTTACTAATAGTTAGATTGGGCAGTCCTTCACAAAATGGCGTTTAATTACAAAAACAAATAATAATTGCCTTGACAAAAGGGCACTTTGGGCATCAAGGGGAAAGGGGCAGGTGCTCAAGCACCCATCGCACCCCCTTCTGCACGTGCCTGTCCTTAATGCATATTGCCACCTACTGGGCAGTTGTGCAATCATTTTAATCTCATATTTTAATCTTATATTGTTAGTTTGATGCTAAATATATAGGTTGAGGTTATAATATTGAAGGTTGAGGTTATCCGTTTCCTTATCCCTAAACTTACCCAGGTATGTTGCATAACCTGCTTTCTGGAATATCCCAGAGGAGCATGACTGGAGGAAGGTGAAAGAAACAAAAAATAGAGATTCTGCTCCAAAGCAAATAATTGTCAGACTGACAAACAAACATTCCATCTGTATAATAACAGAATGCCGGTGTGACTGCATTAATGTGTTTGGACATCTACTTGGGCACTTCCCCTCAGGAAGCTTTTGTCACAAAATATGTAGTAGACACAAACAAAAGTGACAGTAATAACGCATATTTCCTTTTAATTTTTCCTGAGAGAGTCACAGACTACAACTGGAGTACTTCAGAAACGATGAGTATGATGAACAGGCAAACCAAATGTTATTCTCCTCACCTCAAACTGTGGTCAGTGATGACCTAAGAATGCCAAACCTTTGCCATGACGACATGGTGACTGTTTAAACCATTGTCATATTCCAGATGGTTATGGGTTGCAGCATTTGAATGGGTCTTTCCTCTCACCAGCACTCACTTTCACAGTCCTTCGAGTCTGTAAGATGAGAAACAATTGATTTTATCTCAACAGTAAGGTCTTTGCTTTGTGTCCTACTGACAGACACCAACCACAAAACAGACTATGACTCGTTGAAACTCAAGGAAAGAGACAAAAGTGTGGCTCATTCTTCTGTATCTTTGTGGAAACTAGTGATTTCATAAATAAATGAACTTTTACACGACATTCTAATTTATTGAGATGCACCTGTATATGAATAGCTGCGACTAGGGTCACAGAGTCCAGACAGGTCTCAAGGAATATCCATTTCCGCATTTACTATGTCATTCATTTATATATGGACTACTGAATGACATTTCTGGGTGACGTCATGCCCGCCAGTGGTTATGTGGTTGTCTGGATTATTCATTCCATATTTGCATTTCCTCCTCTGTACTATTGTGGACGTCCTTTGGTGTGGTCGTGCTTTTCATTTTTTTTTCGATGTGGTCTGTGCCATGTGGTTCTTTACTTGATTGTTTAAGCTGCAGTGGAGCTTTAGGAAGCACAAACTGCCTTCATCCGAGAGAGCTGCTATAGTTTCCTCCAGGCCTAATCCTCCATATCATAGGTTTTCTTCAGGATAAATCAGCCTTGCAAGGGGATTGACCCAACAAGGTCCTTGGAGTTTCGGAGTTGGAGATCGAATCTGCACAGTTTATTTCTGTCAATTTTATTGATAGCATTCAAATGCCGAGACTTGGAAGAAAACATCCTGCTGTATGTACGAATCTGGTTCTCCATAAATCAGCCAATGTGTGGTGCGTACGAGCTTGGAAGCCAACAGGAAATGTTGTGTCTTGACCGTATAGGATGGAAAATATGAAAGGCCTTAAAAAGTGTAAAGCAGCCTCTGATACAGATAGTATAAAAGTCTATTTAATAGAAGGCAGGTAGCACTCATGCAGCTCAGGCCTGTGGAGAAACTATAAAAACAAGCACAAGTTCAGGAGCAGATGGTTTAAATTAGGCCTTGAGTAAACAAGCCGCTTGGGTCCTTGGTGTGACACTGAATACTAAGCTTGTGTATGTGTGTGTGGATGGCCACAGTTGGCCAGCAGGGCGAAGTCCTGCTTTCTTGGAAATGTTCTGTTTATGCTCAGCCTTTCCATTCCTCATTGCATCTGGAGTTCCCCCAGACCGTGTCATTTCACCTCTCCAAACATCCTCTCTACCTGTGCTAACCCAGGAGGCAGAGCCACCGAGGTCCTCCGCCGCTTTTTTTTGTGCAAAATGGTTCAAGCGCAACTTTTGACGTTCTTTAAAAAGAAGACAACAGAAGGAGGTATGACATTTCCTTAATTAGAGTTTAAAGACATTCGCCTGACATAACATCATTGTGCTGTATGTGTGAATGGGGGACAGAGAGACGATACTGAGAGATGACATTTTCAAATACATCACTAACTTTGCAAAAAAAAAAAAAAAACTCCAAAAGCATTCACTGCATGATGAAGCCTATTATAATGCAGTTAGAATTACCCTATAATTCAAGTAACGAAAGAAAAAATATCCTTGTATGAGTTTTCTTTTTTATATTTATCACATAAAACAAGAGTACTTTCCTGAATATCAGCACGTATGCGCAATTTCAAATGTGCTATTTATTTTATACAACAACGCAAAGAGAGCAACACTGCTGTGTTTCATTCCTGAATGAATCTGTTTTTAAACAAATCAAGTGAGCCAGTGATTCAATGATCCATTTATAAAGATAGTCACTTGCTTCGTTTCTAATTTAATCAGCCATTTTGAATGAAAGGTTTGACTGAATGATTCAGTGAATCATAAAACAGGGATTTGCTGCCACCTACTGGTGGTTTTAGTGTCATATACTGTATATTTATCTATGACATGCCTAAACCAGCCAAGGTACCAGCACAAAACATCCCTAGGTTACGACTGTAACCATGGTTCCCTGAAGGGAACGCTGCATCGGAAACACTTGTGTCTGCGTGACCGCGTACTGAAGCACATGTGAAATCAGTCCAGTAGAGTGCTGAGATATCATGGGCGGGGTGACGTACCGACCAGGAAGCTTAAAAATGCATCCAGTGAAAACAACGCTAGCTTCTAGTAGGTTGAAGCTCGTGAGGGATGCATCCATCGTAAGCATTAAGCGATGACAAAGATCTCCCAACACGAGACTCTGGGACAGGAACCAAGGCTTCTTCCACATGACTAAGGCACGAAAGCATCGCCACGTGACCTTGATCAAACAAAATGGTTGCCCCTCGGGGAAAACCCCTTGGTCCTGAGCCACCACTGCAAGGGCCTCACGTACAGCAGGCCAAAAGGTATCACGTTGACAGTCGCCATACCCTAGCCCAGTCAGGAGGAGTCCTGTGGAAAATGTCATATCTCTCTTAGCCTATATTTTGTTATTATTATTTTAAATCAGTTCTATTGGTCTTCCTCGTGTCTGTTTGAGGGTTTAACAAATATTTAACCAATGAAAACCATTTGAAAGAGCTTGTCACTAAACACCGTTGGATCCTCAAATTGTCAGCAAAACCTCATAACTTCACCCCTCCTCCATTCAGAATAAAGCACCGCGCACAGCCTGGAGGAGACAGATCTCCGCTTGTTCGCAATGCAAGGGTAAATAAATGACTGATGTTTGAAAAGTAAAACATTTTCTTTACTCAAACTATGTCTGTAAAGGCTAATGTTTTTGTGTGTTTGAAGTGCAGAGAAGAGCATTTGCCATCTAGTTGTAGCCAATATACTTTTGTACGTTTTAAATATCCTGTGCATATAGCGCTTTGCTTATATCATGAGATTTGGGCCAAATGTATCAAACAAAAAGAAAAACTAAAGCGCCCATATAGATACAATAAACGTTATACAACCTTTAAGTTGATGAAAGCGTAGGCTATAATGCGATGCACTTGCTGCCTCAGATACAGCCATTCTAAAGACAGACAAAAACACAGATCTCCATCATTCGCTGGTTAAAAACCTTGATAACTCCATTTGAGCTTGATTTTCATTAATTATCTGATAAAGCCACAATACTCTGATGACGCAGTGTTTAATTATTGAAATAAAAATAAAAAAAATAAAAAACTTTTCCTTTTCTATCTTTGTTTTCCCCTATATTTCAGTGCTTAGTGATGTGCCGTGGGATTTTTTATGGAAGAACCCGGTATTGGTATGCTTCGCCCTCGAAAGCAAACCTCAGGAACTTCCTGTGTTTGGAAAGGATGGAAACATGGAAGTATGCGTCATCAAGTCTATGGTGACGAACCAGTCCTCGGACCTAATTTACATCAAAATCTGTTTCAACTTCAGCATCTTGAATCTGAACGTCTTGACAGAGCGATTAATTTGGTGCAGATCTATGATAGGACGCAATCCTCCATCCTTCTTGGGAACACACTCTATAGCCTCCTTTCTCAGGAGGGTAGCCACTACTTGTTCCATCACCAGAGCCTGCTCGGGGCCTAACAGAGTAAGTGTGACCCCGTTGAATAGAGGCGGACAAGAAACAAATTGGATTCTTTAGCCTCTCTCAACAGTCTGCAGGTTCCACTGAGACACGTTTGACATAATTTTCCACGCTGCCAGATGGTCTGCTAAGGGAATCAGTCTCTCGAGACCGACCTCTGGTGTACTTTGAGCAGTCAACTCAGCGCCCTGAAGCAGATGACTGGCAGGGAACAACTGAACTGGCTGCTCTAATAACCTCCTTGGAGGATACAAGCTTCCGGGTGGACACTGAGAACTGTGCTCGCTGGAGACCGCTCTGCCCTGAAGCACCGGAGGTGGCAGGGTTGACAGACGGTTCTCCAGATGGCCCTGATGAGAGTCAGGCACCGTATGATGAGGTGTACTCCGCTCTTCCCCAGAGGAGCTTGCCCTCAGAAGCCTGGCGCCTGAGGCTTCCCTCCCTAGAGGACTTTGGCTAAGAGCCTCACCCCAACCCCTGATCTCTCTGCGGGGGAGCATGGGAAGCGATGCTCTTCTTCTGCTGCGCCCTGTATGAGGAGCAGGAAGACGGCTGGGGCTGCTCCCGCCCAGCAGCCCCTAAGACAGGACAACGGCAAGGAAGAAACCACTGGAATGTCGCCGCCTGCTTCTTTGCTTCCTGAAGCCTCTTGACGACAGAGCTGACAGCATCGCCTAAAAGGCCAGAAGGAGCAAGCGGGGCGTCCAAAAGGAAGAACCTGTCCTTGTCCTTCATATCGGACAGGTTCAACCAGAGATGTCTCTCCGTAGCCACCAATGCTACCGTGGAGCGGCCAATAGCTCTGGCCGTTTCCTTGGTGGCCCAGAGAGACAAATCAGCGGCACGACGCAACTCTTTAATATCGTCAAGAGTGCACTTCCTCGCCTTCGTCCAGGTCTTTAAGCAGGTCTGCCTGGTGTAAAATAATCTTTGATTTAACTTTGAACAGGCTTTTTTACAGTGTTGTTTAAAAACCCTCACAGTGGCTGCTATTTGTTTAGTTAATTCACTATAATGGAGCTGTATTATCTGAAACCATTGAACATTGATAACTTTGAACATTACCTTTGTTATTCTGTCATTTTCTCTCATACAGAACATTGTATGTACCATGGGACTAAAGTGGTACCCTAACCCAGAGGCCCTCCATTGCATAAAGGGATGCGAAGAGACATACAAAATGTGCAGTGTTGGGGTGCCTCCAGGACCAGGGTTGGGAACCACTGCTCTATATAACTGAATTTGTGCACCGGCACAACACACACACTTCAAACACACCTTTTAGACGGAAACAACACAGAGCGCTTGCTGAAGAGCAGAAGCTAGGCGTTGTTTTCACCTGATGCATCATTAAAGCTGCAGTCCGTAACTTTTTGGGTTAAAAATTATCCAAAATAAATTTTTGATCAAGTACATAACCAGCCAGTGTTCAAAACTATCTCCTTACTTTAGCTTGATTCACAACGGTAAGCTTGTAATAAAGTTTTCTAATTTGAGTGGTACGGGTAGGTTTTCGCGGGAAATTCGAGCATGGCGCTG